GACTATATAAGAAACACGTTATCACTGCATGTTAGGTTTTTTCTTGTGTGTTGGTACGAGTTTGATGCCTTGTGTGATTTATTAAGAAATAGTTGCATTCATTGCAGTTATTTTAGAGGATTCAAGAAACACGTTATCTTTGCAATTTGCATATCATTTAGTTGCATGTTAGGTTTTATTGCTTTAGCACGTTTATTACTTTTTTAGGATTTGAGTAATTGTAGTTCATCGACTTTGATCGAACTTGATGAGTTTCTTGTGCATATTTGTTATATTATTTGGACATAATGTGCTAAGTGATGAAATTTGAGAATTGATTGAATTATGAATTTGAATGATTGATGGTATAGATTATTATTATTATTATTATTATTATTAATGAGATTCTTGTCTTGTTGGATAAGTTAGTATTGTTAGGATTCTTGTCTTGTTGGACAAGTTAGTATTATGGTTTTAGGAGCTTTATTTAAAGGACTCCTCCTCTTTTGTGTTATTGAGTTGATTATTGAATGAAAAATGAGATTGTGAGTTTTTATCGAGAGAGTATCTTGTTTATCCTTCCCATTCGTACGCTTCCCTATATGAGTGATGCTTTAATTCATGAATAATGACCTTTGAGCCTTTTTTTTCATTTTAAGATTGAGTGTATTGTTCATTGTTGATTGAATTCTAGAAAGTATCTTTATTGAGACCACATGGTATGTGTTTTTTGTGAAAATGATCTAAGACATTTTTGTTTGAGCATTTTTTATCTTCTTAGCTTACCAAATAATATTTTTATTCCTTAGTTAACCCTTAGCTTTTGCCTATTTTTTTTGAATGTCACATATTGAGCTATATCTATATTTTCCTCGTCTTTACTTGAACATCTAGGATTATATCATTTGAATAGGACGAGTGTATTGTTTGTGGTGTGGATAAATGGAAGACGTGAACGGGGGTATAATTTGATGGTGTAAGTTAAATGAGGTTGATAGAGTCAAAATAATGAAAAAAAAAAATAATGAGAAAAAAAATTGAAAAAAATGAATAAGTATGTGTAGTTGCTTATATTTTAGCATTGACTCAAATAAAGGTGGTTTTGTGTGATTGTTGGATTTTCTTATATGGCTTGCGAATATTTATTGAAATGGGGTATGAGATAAGTTGCGTTTGACTTGATTATGATTGGTAGGTGATGCATTGGTGTATTTCATGTTTTGTAGTTCTAAATGCTCAAGTTTTCGTCATTTTATCCATATTTTTTTGTACCCTAACCAAAGAGCCTATATCACAACCAAATGAAAATTTTTTATTGATTCAAGAATTGCATGCAAAATAAGTAGTGGAGATAGTAGAAGATTTGCAAGCTTATGGTAACTCTTCAACATTGAATTGATTTGAGCGATTATTTCCTTGTATACTTAGGAGAGTGAGAGTATACACTTATCTGGTGAAGTTTGTGGATTGAAAGTATTGACCATGATTGATGAAACATTCTTTATGTTAAAAAATTTCAGAGCTTCGTTATGTTATTTGCCCGATGCCTATTGAGAATGTGCACGATTGACTTAAGAGTTGTGATTGTTTTTCCTTGTGTGTTGGTAGGAGTTTGATGCATTGATCGAGACTATCAATGGTTTAAGTTTGAGGGTTTGTTCATGTGTAATTTTACACCATACTTATAGTCTCTAGAGCTTATTCATTGCATTATTGGTGGATAAATTACATTGTTGTGCTTTAATTCTATATTTTGTTGGAAAGGTATTACACGTGCTTGTTTTGTAGATATTTTCATATTTTTGTAAAGTTTTTAGCTATTGGAGGCGCACGGTGACTACCTAAAACCCCTGGGATGATGAAAGATTGATGCACGGATGAAATGGAAGAAACGAGTAGGCGAGGTGGAAAACGCTATCAAACTTGCGAATGGTGGCAACACGGTATAGGGATGATGAGGCACTTGTCACTCTTGGCCTATGAGACGATGTGTTGAAGCTCATAGGACGAGGAGTACTTGATGACTTAAAAATGGCCGACGTACGTCGGTCTTAAGAATTTTCTCAGCACATTGGAGGTCGAAAAGACAGGGTACGACCACACGGTGAAAAAGTTGTCATTCCGTCTTAAAAATCGAAACTACATACTCGATGTCACCTAGACATGTGACATCGAATTACCGTATAGGTGACATCTAATTAACCTTGATTTTTTGGAAAACGACTCTAGTTTTCATTTATTTTTGAATCAATACATTATTTTTCTCATAACTATTTGTTATATATTATCTCCACTTCTTTTACAAATATATTAGCACTCAATCATGTGTACATGCGTAAATGAAAAAAAAAAAATTACCTTAAGTCATATGTTGAATATTATATTTAAAATTATAAATTATATAGTAGACATACCACATTTAATAAAATTGACATTAGAAAAAATGAATCATACTGGCAAACTATTTTACTTATGGAAATGGTTTAAGCTATTTAAAAGGTTTTGTTATATCACTAAAGCCAATTAGCTATCTAAACAAATGAGATAAAAAAAGATATATCCGTTTTAAATTAAGTAGTATAAACAAATGTTACAATAATTTCATTTTCAATTTTTTTAATTACAAAAATATGATTGGAAATTAAACTAAAATACTCACATATTAGTATTTGATTTTGTGCACATGTACATATGCATTAATATCATAAGTTAGGTAAGAAGCATGTCACATTTTTTATATTTTATTAGTAGTATAAATGTACGATATAATATAAACTACTTAACTTAAATATTGACCTTTATATTAATTGCAAAAATATAATTTTTTGTAATTTTCGCTTATTATGACCAATTAATTAGATAAAACAATATTGAAACTATTATTATAGCAACTGTGTACGCAATTTTAAGATGTTTGGTTATGTTATACAAAATAATTAATTAATTTTTAATAAAAAAAATTTAATAAGCTGAAAAAAAAATTAAATAAATAGTTTGAAAAAAGCTTTAGAATATAACACCATTTAGTGTGACTTTATAAATAAAAAAAAATTATTTAATTAATGCAAAATATAATTAAAAATAGTGAAAAAATGAAAAATATTATCATAATTTTTTTGCGAACAATATTTGACTAGTGCAACACCCGTGTATTACACGGGTACTTGTGAAAAAATTATCTTAAATTTTAAAATTAATGAGAAAAATTATTTTAAATTTTATTTACTTTTTTACAAAAAATATATATTATTATATATTTTAGAATGACACTTGTTACTTGTGAGATTTACATGTATTATATTATAGTAATTTTTATAACGTATATCATATATCTACTTGAAATATAAATACATTAATTAATAAACAATTTATTTTTTTAATTAATATTAAAAATAATTTTATTATTGTTATAAAGATAGATATAATTTATTTTTTTTATACATGCAATATGGATGTTAATTCGAAGCTCATCAAGAGATGATCAATTTGATATATTATATATGTAAAACTGATAAAAAATACAAAAGGTATTAACTTTTAAAATATATTTACAATTCAATAGTTATAATAAGCATGACCATAAATAATCAACATATTTATGGATAATCCGAACCTAATTATTTTTGTATTGGAAGTAAATTAAAATCTACCCAAGCCTAATAAGGAAACATGTAATTTTGCCACATAAGATACCGAAGCATGCGAGCATGCTACTTAGGCTCAACACGTTATGAATTAATATGTAGGGGGGAAGGGAGGATATAGAGGAGTATGGATAATTCGAACCTAATTATTTTTTAATTAGAAGTAAATTAAAATCTACCCAAGTCTAATAACGAAGTATGTAATCTTGCCACATAAGATTCGGAATCATGCGAGTCTGTCACTTAAGCTCAGCACGTTCTGAATTAATACATCGGGAGAGGGGATAAGGGGATACTAGTACAGAATTTTAAGGCTATTTATCCAGGCTTATAATTATATACATGAATAAAGAAAAATGTACGGGATATATATAGTACGTGACCCGTGCAAAGCACGAGATATATTTATTTGAAGAATATTATATTATAAGATGCAATATTCAATAAAAGTTTATAATACGCAAGAAAATTGTACAATGTTCAATAAAAGTTTTATAATATTCAAGTGGAGTCTTAAAGCCTCTTGTACATTAAGACTACTGACAAAATAATATTCTAGTCAATGAGTTTCTTTTCCTTGTAGCCAAATTGTGAATGTGATTTGAGGAGTACAACAAATCGATATATAGCTGACTTGCTTTTTCTATTGTATTTTTTTTTTTCTATAATGAGTTTAAAGATATTCTAAAATATAGCAAATATTAATTTTTTTTATTACAATTAGGAATTTTACTAAATATAAACTCTCAATTTATGGTGTTAATCAATGTTTAAATCTAAAAAATTAGGAATTTTTACTTCGTTTAATCAACGTTTAAGTCTAAAAACAATAGAGTTATTATAAGTTTTTTTTTCTACATCTTTTAAAACATTAAATATGAGCATGTTAGGTACAATATAGTTTTAATATTTTTTTTATGATTTGATAATATAAAGAAATCTATACTTAACTTTGACAAATAAAACAAATAAATACTTTAGTAAGTATTTAATGTATATACTAAATAGGAATATATTGGTATAATCAAATAACAAATATAATCAAATAAGTCAAAGTGTACATTTTTATTTGGTATTTGATTTTTTTATTATTAAAATCTTTTATTATACTTACCTTTTTAAAATAAAACAAATAAATAAATCAATTAAATAAATAAAATATTATAATACCAAAATAGTAATGACATTTAATGCAGTTGATTTTTCTGGATAGTAAATATAGTAAATAGAATTTCCTTTTATATAAGTATAGATTGTTATAATACGAAAATAGTAATGCAATAAATGTTGTTCACTTTTCTTTATAGTAAATCTGATAAATCGTATACCTTTTAATATAAGTATAGATGTGGTCTTTTCGTTGAATGAAGGAGAAAAATGAGATTCACCAAAAATGTCACTCCCTCGATATTAACCTAAAAATGAGGCGACAATAGTGAAATTAGAAGAAAATTAATGCACCCACCCCTAAGTAGTATATATAGCAACCCTTCAGCTAAAGACGCGTCTTGCTCAGCTAAACTGCGTAATTAGACAGACGATTCATCTCCTCTGGTTTTGGTTGGGAGATCTTGTGCTGCTGAGAGATCCCTACGCTGTTCATTCCCCACCGCTAATCTTTAATGTAAGCATATCAATCTCATTATTTTTCTCTGGTTTTTCCAGGTTTTCGAAACCCTAGGCGCCGTTGATCGGTTAATTTCTACCAAGCAATGCTCATTCTCTTGCATTTCAAGTTCAGATACGTTTCCATATTGTGAATTCATGGTTAAATTCGATTATATGAACGTGATGCGATTCGCGTGTAGATCATCGCATTCGATCCTGTTTGATGGTTATTGTGTTTGCATTTATGTTGATCTCGTTTTTATTTGATATTCCTTGGTCTTAATCTTCTGTGCGGATGCTCGATCCAGTATGGGTGATCTGAGATCTTTTGTTTTCTCGCTCATCTTGATGAGTAATTGTTGACAATATGATGGATGTGGTTTTTTCTGATTAGAACTTTTTTGAAATGGTATTTATTGCAGTGTGATAGTCCGTGATATATGGTTGTAGATGTTTGTTATACATTTTTTGCTCACCATGTATCATATATGGTATTTATGCGTGTATCTTAGTACTGACAGAAGAACGGTCTTCGAACTGGGCTTCGATTTATATTAATTCAGCTGACCCTTTAATTTTTTACAATGAAATGGTAATATTATGATGTGTTTGCTTACCCCTTTATCTGTACTTTGTGATAATGTTCCAGTTCCGAGATGGGGTTGTCTTTCACTAAGCTTTTCAGCCGGCTTTTTGCCAAGAAAGAGATGCGCATACTGATGGTAGGTCTTGATGCTGCTGGTAAAACTACCATTCTCTACAAGCTTAAGCTCGGAGAAATTGTTACCACGATTCCTACTATTGGTACGCTTTAGTGGCTACTCACTGTCATCTTGCCTTTATTCGTCTGTTAATGGTTTAGCACTGTTATCGGATAAACACTGCACTTTTTGAGCTCATGGTATGGTTTTATTCAGGATTCAATGTGGAGACCGTGGAGTATAAGAATATTAGCTTCACTGTTTGGGATGTTGGGGGCCAGGACAAGGTACCATAATTTCTTATTTCTCCCTCATGATTTGGAAGCAAAAGTTATTCTGTTATTAGATCAAAAAACTTAGCATTGTTTAACAATTTCAAACTGCTTTGCTTTGGTTTTGCTCCATTTAAAATTTAACCAATTAACCCAGCGTTCAAGCTCAGACCTCCAACTTTGATGCATCTTGTCTGTTATGCAGATCCGTCCACTGTGGAGGCACTATTTCCAGAACACTCAGGGCCTTATCTTTGTTGTTGACAGCAATGACAGGGATCGTGTTGTGGAAGCAAGGGATGAACTGCACAGAATGTTGAATGAGGTAAGACGAGCCCAGATATTTTTATTCTTGAAATTTTAATTAAGCAAAATCAAAACTTTGCATCACCATCATTGTACCCTCCCTGTAAAAGATAAAATTTATTTTACCACCTGCCTGCTGTTAGTGCTATGCCTATTTTTTTTTTTTAGAATCTAAAAGCTCCTACGATATCGGATAGCAAACTTCAACCTGTTATCAAATTATTGAGTGTTCTGTTTTTTATTCCTCTCGGTCAGGATGAACTGCGTGATGCTGTTCTCCTAGTATTTGCCAACAAGCAAGATCTTCCAAATGCAATGAATGCTGCTGAAATAACTGACAAGCTGGGCCTTCATTCTCTCCGTCAACGCCATTGGTATATTATTTATGAGTTTGACCCTTTCTCGCCTTTTGCTTTCCAAGTGATATTTCAATGCGTAGCTACTTAATAATGTTGCCATTTGAAAATGCAGGTACATTCAGAGCACTTGTGCAACTTCTGGTGAAGGGCTGTATGAGGGACTGGACTGGCTCTCAAACAACATTGCTAACAAGGTAAGGATTGCTCGGAGGTTAATCTAGTTTGGAAGTATATTTTTCTACCCCAAAAAAGAATGGCACCTTTAACCCAAGCTCGTTTACTTATGGACTTTAATGCATTTTCCAGGCCTGAGTACTTTCAGTTCGAGGTGGACATTGTTGGCCATTTATCCAATGTTTTGGGTTTTGTTGAAGATTCCCTCAACCTTTGCTTTAGTTAAGAACGTTATCGTCTTGAGTAAATGTATTTCTTGTGATGATTTTGTGGATTTTTGTCAACCTCGTGGGATCTCTCTATTCCTATTTTGTGAAAGTAGGAGTAAATAGTTGATCGAACTTACTCTGATTTCTAGTGGTTTCGCTCGTGTGGTACTACAGATCTTTTGAGAATAAATGGTTCTTCTCTAGTTGTTGGATCCTTGTTGTGTTGTTATTATCATATTATTATTATCGGAATATTACTGTATGCATGGGGCTGGGTTGTATATTCTATATTTCATTATTTGGCAAGCTTTAAGCAGACCGAATTATATATCATGGATCATGTTAATCATTTGACCAAGTTCTGGGTAAAGTATCCCATCTTTCTACACAAACGAGCCTGGGTGTAATGTGCAAATAAAACTTGCAATTACACATAATATTAACCTACATACATAATATTTTCAGCAGTGGAATAAAAAAAGAAAGTAAAAGTCATTCAAAGTCCCATATAAATGCACCTAATATTTTGTGTATTTTGTGTCAATTTTATAATGGACAGAAAGGATAATGATTTCACCAGCATTATGAACAAATGGTGCGCTGGACGGCTTTTAACAATAAATATATAAACAAATAAAGATTATAAAATGTGTAGTGAGAAAATTAATTATAAACAATCTAACAGAAAAGAACATACAAATGACTATTGAAACCAGAAGCCCAAGCTTGCAATGACTCATAAAGATGTAATCCAAGTCCGTCGATTCAATATAAATTTTCGTTGAGAATTTACTTTTGCATTAAAATAAAATTTTACTTACGTAGGCAATGAACATGGCTTCGTCAGCCTAAATTAGTGCCCGGTCCAATATCCTACAAACTTTGGGCCATTATCAGTTGGGCTCAAGAAGTTGTACCGATCCGGATCCGGGTAAATCGTCCGACCTTCCTCTTTCATTTCCCCTGTGTGTTCTTGCTCGAAAATCGTTCTCCTAAACCCTAATTTCTTCGAATTTCCCTTTTCGGTGCAAATTACTACACGTCGTCAAGTTTTTCGCCCCAGATTTGTTTAGCGAACATTTGATTGTGACTGTAATTCTTCGTTTTCTTCGCCTGCGGAAAAGCTTGGATTTTGAAATGGACGCGAAGGACATACTAGGGTTGCCGAAAAATGCATTGTCTATACAAGAGAAGAAGTCTAAGCCTCCCAAAGAATCTCAGAGAAAACCAGATGGCATATCGCGCGAGGTCCTCTTTTTCCTTCATATATCCCATTTATCAGTTTTTTTTTTTTTTTTTNAGTTTTTTTTTTTTTTTTTCTTCACACATTTATGATATTTGATTGCATTTGTATGTGTTAGGTTTACGCTCTTACAGGTGGATTGGCTCCTTTGATGCCGGCCATTGATGTGAATCAATTGAAACGTAAAGCCCAAGCTGGCGATGAGAAGGTTCACATTTGTTTTGGATTTCCTGTGTCTACTTATTTAAATGGGCATACAATATACAGCTCTTTTAAGAAAGAATTTTCTGTGCAGATTACTTGGCAATGGCTTCCATTTACGAATTCTGCCAGGAAAGATGACCTGCAGCTTTACCATTGGGTAAGTTCCCTGAAATTCGGCCATCACTTAGTGATTCCTGTGCACGCAGAATTATGAGTTTATTTGCCTCTTACGTCTTTTGTAGGTTCGAGTGGTAAATGGCAATCCACCAACCGGTGACTATTCATTTGCAAAGTATAACAAAGTATGTCAAAGTGTTTTACAGTATTCGTCAGGATGATTGGTTTGAATTTGTTGTTTGTTTGTCTATTCGTTGACATCTAATAGTTCATGTATTTGATGCAATGCAGTCTGTTGATGTAATCAGGTACACGGATGAGGAGTATGAAAAGCACTTGACTAATCCTGTACGTCCACGGAGTTGGTTTTTCTGTATTTCATGTTCATTTTTGTATATTTTGTTGTACATATTGTGGATTAATGATTTGCAATTCAGTGGACCTTGAATAATGATTTGAATAAGATGATTAGTTGATTTTACTCCAGCTTACCAAATTAATGCAACTCATTCCTGAAAACTCAACCTTCAAAGGCCAGAATTTAAGTTCAGTGACTCATGTTACTGACTTCAGATTATCTGAGTTGGACATTAATGTGATGGTTACACGCACTTAGTTTATTATTGTGTCCAGCTTATGTGAGTTACTTTTCTATGCCGTAACAGTACTTATAATTTTTGTACTTTAGGCATGGACCAAGGAAGAGACAGATCAACTGTTTGATTTGTGTGAAAGATTTGATCTCCGTTTCATTGTTGTAGCTGATAGATTTCCATCATCAAAAACTATTGAGGAACTTAAGGATCGATATTATAGTGGTACATCTATCATTATCTCATCCAGAAACTCATTCTTTCTTTGATTACCTTGAATATTTTATGAAGCGTAGCCGAACATTTTATGCTATTTGATGTTGAGCAATGCTAAGTATGTTCTGATTGTTATTAATAATTTTTGCAGTTTCTAAAGCTCTCTCTATTGCTAGGGCTCCATCTTCTGTAGATGTTGCTGGGGCTCCACTTGTAAAGGTTCAACATAATTACTTATCGCCTTATCCCTTACTGTCTAGCATGAAAAATGTGCCCTTCACCTTTTAAAATGATCTTTCATGAATTTAGGTTGTCATTTGTCTGGATGTTAACATTTATATTATCCTCTTAATGCTAAAAACACTGTCCATTTAAATAGGAGCCTTATAATGCTTCTCAAGAATCTGAAAGGAAACGGGCATTGAACTTGTTGCTCTCGCATACAAAGCAGCAAGAGCGCAAAGATGTTGAGGTATAAATAGTTTGCATCTCCCAGTGATGTTCCCTAATTATACTCAAAAGAAATTTCACTTTTCATTTATGGTTTTCCTCTTGACTCTTGCCACTGTCAGGTTCTTGCTCATGCAAAAAGAATAACTGAGGCTCGAAAAACTCTAAAGGTCTGCCCAAGTTATCTGCCCCCTTAGATTCCTGAAATACAGGCGTAAAATATTAAATTACATGTTTGCTGCATATTTTGTTTAGCCCCCATTTTCATTTTTGAGTCTGTAATAATTTAGAGTCTTACTCAGTTAGGGTGTTACATTCTTTTCTTCCTTCCTCAGGCTCCTGTAGAGCCAGAGTTCCCAATCTTAGCGGATAGTGGACCACTTGGTGCTGATAAGGTTGTTACTGCTGCTGGTACTGTTGCCCCTTCATCAAATCCTCAGATTCCCCCCTCTAATACAACTGTGTCAGAAACTGCTTCAGTTATGGCTTCCCTTCGCATGGTATGTCTCAAATCAGTTACATTATAGAGTATGCTGTGGCTTCTCTTTATCTTGGTTCTCGTGGAGAGTACTTTTGTGTCTTTGACCTGTTATACTTAATTTTTTTTTGCCTTTTGGATATGCCAATTTTTTGTTTTAAGTTTGTTGTTTATATTACTGGAGAACATGCAGCTACGTGTGTACTTACGGACATATGCTCTTGATCAAATGGTCCAAGCTGCAAGTTCATCAGCGGGGCTTCGAACTATCAAACGGGTTGAGCAGACTTTGCAAGATCTTGGGGTTCGTTTTCTTCTTTTTATGACCTGTTTAGCTCCAACTCTTGGCTGTCTAAGAGATATTAAATTGTGACAGGTGTGGGTATTTTGTGAACATTGAATTAATTGTTGAGGCACCTTTCATGTGTCACAGGTGAATTTGAAACCTAAGGTTCCCACAAAGGCTGTGTGTGCGGAGCATCTTGAACTACGAAAGGAGATATTAACCCTTTTGAATCTTCAGAAACAGGTTTTTATTATGTTCTACATTAATATACCATCTTATTTTGTTTTTAATCTGGTGACTAGTAAAATGCCGACGTCTGCTATACTTATCTTAAGCTTCTCTCTTAGTGCATCAACTGTCAGCTGCTCAATTTTGGATATTTCTCAAAAATATTTTCTCAGGATTTCTTGATATGATTCTTTGGTTGTAGATATTCCAAGGATTTATGCAATCAGTTTAAATTATACCGAACATATAATATTTTATTGCTTTAAATGCCACCTTTTAAATAATATTTTTAGGCTTTGATCGAGTAAGGCGTCGTTTGGTTAACAGCGTTTCACATAAAAAAGCTACAATAGCTGTTTTGACCAGATAAAACAGCTGAAAATATTGTTTGGTTAGCTAGCTTTTTTATTCAGCTGATCGGGTGAAAAAGCTGTTTTAGAAAACGCTGCAATATGGAGCGTTTTGAGTTAGCGGATGAGGAGGAATACTTTTTATTCATTTGTTTATTAACTTCCTATCTAAAATAGATGTCTCATCTTTTATTTTTACTTCATTTATATTGCATAGGGGATGAGATCCTCAGTTCACGGAAATCTAAAAATATTTATTCTGGTTCATTATTTGTTTTGTTTACTTTTGTAATTTTTTTGTTTAATTTTTATCATTGAAGTGTAACAAGCTTTCAATTTTGTAAAATATGAGCGTGGACTTAAAATTCATGCAAAATTTTTTTATATATATTGTTTAGAATTTAAATAGTTAAATAAATAAAATATAAAGTTAATTACTTGTTGTAAAAAAAATTATTTATTTTTTATAAATTGAACTTTGTTAAATCAACCTTTCAAATTCAAAAACCATGAATTATTTGATTTTTTAATAATTGTCATATCTATAAAAAAATTCAAATATTCAAATATTTATATTACTAACAACTAATTCTGAACAGTTCTTTTACCAAACATTATTTTACAAACTGCTAATATAATCTGCTAGTCAAAGTAGCTAATTCAATCCGCTGGTCAAAACAACTAATACAATCCGCTAATTGCTAAATTTAACAGCTGATTGCCAAACAAGCCCTAAACCTAATTGGAAATAAGTTTGTTTGCATATTTGCTAGACTAAAACTATCAGCGTAGCCATATTCATCCTTTTCACTTGCTTTTTTAACCTATATCGTTAATCATCAGTTGCAATACAAGGAGGCAGAGGGATCATCATTTCGTGATGGTTCATATACTGAAACTCCTGGTACACCTCCTAAGGTATGTGATAATTATAATGTGGTATTTTATTTGCAACACACACATACACACAACACACACACACACACACACAGATAGAGAGAGAGAGAGAGAGAGAGAGAGAGAGTCTTGCTCTTTATAGTTTTATTCCATGTTGGTTAAATAGCAGCTTTGATGTATATAAATCCTGTGTTCTACAGCAGTCCGTACGAGCAGCAGAGCTTGATCGGACATTTACGCCCGATTCCGTTAGCATTGGAGGTAATAGTTAACTGGGGCTTGATTTTGCCTTACATGATACTCTGACTTTGTTTCTAATACACGTTAAAACTTGACTTCAATGCATTGATTATCAGGGGAAAGATTTGTGAAAAGGGAACAAAAGCGCAAGGTATGCTCCGAATCTCCATTCTGTTATTCATTCTCTTTGCTTGTTAGTAAACCACTTGATTGCAATTAAATGTGTTGAAGGGGCCGGGGAGAGTTTCCGAAGCCCCATCATCACCTGCTCAGACCAAGAGGCCCCGTAAATACAAAGCTTCAGATTAACTGCTACAACTGTTTCTTCTTGGTTTCAAGTTAATTACGAGTTAGTGGAGAAAATTTTTTCTATGGGTTGGTCTCTTGTTCCAACCAATCGGAAGCTGGAAATGGGCTTTTGTGCTCATGCGGAGTTGCTGGATAATTTACGCGGGGGCTCAAGCATGGACAATTTCTGAGGAGGTAGGATTTAGTTTTAGGCATTTTACTTAGATCCTAATTAAAATACTTTATGTGAGCTCTTCTGTACCTTCTGTTGATGTAAATACAAAAGCCATGGTTGCATTTGTGATAATTTACTTTTATTTGCACTTATTAAACATGATTTTATACCTTTTTGGCACACCTAAGGCAAAGGATAAATGTACTAGTTTTTAAAATCTTTTTATTTTTATTCAATATATTATATATCAAATTTGAACCATGCAACTAATAAAGGTAAATAGCTGCAAGTTTTGTCAATATATTATATTCTAAATTTAAACCACGCAACTAATAAAGGTAATAGCTGCAATATTTGACCAAAATTATTCTGTACATTAATTTAAGCGGGATTTTTTAAATTTTGGCCAAAAATATTATCTAATATAGTAAATACTTTAGGTCGGAAATTAAATGTTTTTTCTAATTTTTAATTATTATTTCAAGTAAATATCATTGTCTCTTTATAGATTAATAGATCATTGCCTCTTTAGTCTTTATATATCAAATTATCAACAGATAAGCCCCTCGAACACAAGAAGGAGACTATATTCCAATAGCATTTTAAAGTCACACATGGATGCTAGATTCCCAATAACCACTTATCAGAGGCATCTACCACCGAACCTGTCATCTATTTTCAAAGAGACAATTTCCAAGTAAATTTTAATCTTCTCGAGGATACCTAACATATTTTAATAAATGATATTTACTATGCACCATGAATTCCCCATT